GATTCTGGCTGGGTCCAACAAAGCGTTTTAGTTTTACCCAAATAAAAGTAATGAGGCCCATGAGTCCCAAAGTAAATTCAACCTTCGAGAACTAAAGAGGCTTGTGTCATTTCAGTGTCTGCATAATATCAAAAGCAATCGAGTCCGAAACAGAAAAAATGCATTCAATTAAAATTTTCGAATTTTTGGTATCAAAAGTAGCAGTGACTCAAACAAATGACCATGTGTTGGTTTTTTCTTTTTAATATTGGTAATATTTTTCCTGCTAAATTTGTTTAATTTTTCTATAAAATTACTGTCCAAGCTTTAACCAAAACCATATAAATCACAGTTTGAAACTTTACACAAAACTGAAACGAATTCAACAAAATTTCATCAAAATTTCAACTTTTTAATCTGAATCTTTAGAACATTTCTGGGTAAGCAGTTTTATAGCCCATAAAATTTTAGTCTAACAACTTACATGTTCCAAACTGCTAAAAAATGCCGTTGATTTTTGAGAATTTTTTTTAGTGACGGATTTTTGCACTTTCTTCCATAAAAGCATGGATTTCTTATCAAATAAAATGCGGCAGACCGTTAGCAACAAAATTGCAAAAACTCAACGCCAGTTTTTGTAAATTTTATATAAAAAAGAACCACAAAAGCAGTCAAAATAATGTTTTTTAGTCGGTTGAAACTTGCCCGAAAAAATTACGAATATTATAAAATCAACACGTGGTCAATTGTTTGAGCCACTGTATATTAATTTCATGTTCCTTTTCACATTTGAGATATAAGACTTTCTCCTCTTACTTCTTGAAATCAAGCTTCGATATCTTTTAATAAAATGACAATTGTCAGAAATCCGTTGACTTTGACGGTCATATCAAAATCGCTTCCATTTTGAGTAACACCCGAACACAAATTTCGAGGGAAAATACAGCGCCATTAATTTTTATTAAAATTTCCCTAATTGTTCCCATGCTATTAAACTTCCCTTATACCAAACAATTTTTTTTTAAATATAATTTTTTTGCTGACAGTAAAAAGTAAAAGAAACGCTCGAACGCTGGGTTTTGCACATATGGAAAACTGTATTCGTACTGGTTAATCAAAGAACTTTAAAAACAATAAAAAAAAATGTTTATTAAAATTTCATTGATCTAACAAGTAGTTACGACAAGCCTTTATAAGTAGTTTATAGAACAAGAAAATCGACGCCCGCACCACCAAATGGCTAAATTTTTTATGAAGTAAATTTTTTCCATTTGAGTAATATACATACGTTCTACTATAGATATTTCATTTCATTTACTTTATTTATGCCATAAGATATGCTAGTCTTTTGACAGTTTCAAATCGCCCGGTCCGGATGGCATCCTACCTATTGTACTTAAAGAAGGTGTTTAGTCTACGGCATGGGTTTCATGGTTCATGGTCACCAGGATTCAGGCAGAAACAGGTCAATATGTCACGTGCGCTACCTTGTTAACGGCTGCCCTCCGGATGCCTGGTAATTGATTCTCATTTTGTCACTCTTAATGACTCTGATATCTACGCTCAAGCCTATGCGGACGATGTGGCCTGTCTAGTCACGGACCCATCTCTGCTGGCTGTTTACAGGAAAGCGCAGACAATACTGAATATGTTAATTTTATTGTGGCGTATTAATATTTATATCAATAGGGTTATTGAGCTTTGTACCACGATTTGTTTGCTAGGAAAAATGGAAAAACAACAAAGTCTAAGCGGTAGAAGTTATAGGTTCTATTTCGGAGATCACCACATCTCCTCATCAGACTTCTTTTTGCTAGACTGCAGCAGGGATCGAATACGCATCATCGATGTGCAAAGTCAGAAGCGCTAACCACTGAGCTGTGCACGCACCGTAAACGCTTGTTGCTAATTCATTTCCTTATTCAACCTACTACTATTAAGAAAATCGTGGCACAAAGCTCAATAACCCTATTAAAATAAATAGCTCAGTGGTTAGCGCTTCTCACTTTGCACATCGATGATGCGGGTTCGATCCCTGCTGAAGTCTAGAAAAAAGAAGTCTGATGATGAGATGTGTTATCCGAAATAGCAGCTATAACTTCTACCGCTTAGACTTTGTTGTTTTTCCATTTTTCCTAACAAACAAATCGTGGTACAAAGCTCAATAACACTATTGAAATACTGAATACGATTGACAGTTGGTGTGATGGAAATGGGATCACCGCTAACCCAACCAAAACTAGTGTTGTGCCCTTCACTAGAAGTAGAAAGTTGGATGGTCTCATTCCCCTCACACTTAAAGGAGTCAGAATTCAGACTTCTGCCGAAATGAAGTATCTAGAAGTAATTCTGGATACAAAACTATCGTGGAAATCTCAGGTGGAAAACAAGACCTAAAAAGCATTGACAGCTTTTGGGCAATGACAACTGGTATTTGGTAAAACGTGGGGTCTATCACCGAAGGGAATCCTTTGGATTTACGCCTCTATGGTCAAACTCATAATCAGCTATGCGTCAGTGATATGGTGAAGCATACTCTCAGTCAACAGCGTGGGAAGTCTGCTTGCTAAATTTCAAAGAACTATTGCCGTGTGCTGTGCGGGAGCTTTCTATACAACACCTGGCACTGTTCTTGATGCACTGCTGCTCGTACCGTCACTTTGTGTCTTCATACGTGGGGAAGCCTTAAAGGCCACCCGCAGACTGAAAGGAAACGAGTGTTGGTATTACACTGAGTGGGATAAGGCGGAAATTGCTTGCGGAAGAGATCTAAGCACTTGTGTCCTTTCGATGCCATAGGATAGTACGCTACCATAATCTTTGTTCGAAAGATTTTATAATGTTGAATTCCCTGAGGTGAAATGTTGGTTTAACACCAGTACTGAGCCCTTACTCGCAAATCTTCGAATCTTCCCTAATGGCTCCAAAACTGAATCTGGGCCAGGATTTGGGGTCTTCATCGAAGTTAATGGGGCTAAGCATCACTTTTTCCTGGAAAGTATGCCTCGGTCTTCTAGGCTGAGGTATTTGCAATCCTCAAGGCCATGGAATACGTGGTGAAAAATAGGTGGAGGGAAAGGAGTGTACGTGTCTGCAGTGACGGCCAAGCTGGACTTCACTTAAGGCATTGGCCATCCCTCTAACTACTTCCAAACTAGTTCGGCAATGCAAGTCCCGACTAAATTATGTTGGCAAATATAACGACCTTGCTTTACTCAGGATGCCAGGTCACTCGGGAGTACCTGGTAAGGAGACATCTGACCATGATCCATGAACCAGAACTGGCTCAGACTAGATGTTCTTCGGTCCGCAACCAGTTATAGCACTCCCGCCTTCGGCCATCGAGGCCACCATCAGAAACTGGGTGAATACTATGCTCAGCAATGACTGGGAGGCATCGAGTGGCTGCCGGTGGGCAAAACTCATGTTGCCTTCAATCTCAGAAGGTCTAGCCACCGCTCCATAGGCCACTGTTGGTCGTACTATCATGGTGTACACACATCACTCCAAGAGTTGTCTGCTAAGCGCCTACACACCACAGAAGCTTAGAATCCAGGATTAGACCCAGTTACTTAACCTCGGTGGAAAAGCAGAATACATATTCGTAATCTACGACTCGTAGTTGAGTTAACGTGTTTCGGCATTGTTTTGTGTCATTTCAAAACTTGAGATGTTGTTGGATTTTTGAAAAAAGTTAGCCCACTGCAAAAACTAATTGTGATGAGGTAAAATGAAATTCTTTGAAGAATTTGTTTGAATACTAATCTTTGGGCATAGTTTTTGAGATGGTGGCGATTCAGCAACACACTGTGTCCCACAAGTTTAGATTTACATTCTGGCGCTTAGCCCCACCGTACTAAAAAGGAATTGACCACTCGCCAAAAAAATATGATTTTTCTTACTTAACTGTAAATTCCTCGGAATCGTTTCAAAAATGAATTTTCACTGTTGCACCATGTAAATAGGAAAACATGCATACATATGGGTCATTCCATACAACATTTACATCTCAATATTATTTTTTTTGGGGTGAAATATATTTTTTTACATTCTTTATCGAAAAAAAAGAAGACACCTATTATTTTATTTCGTCATGATACTCGAAAATCTCGAAAAAAATACCCGAATTTTTGAACTCACGGAGAAGTATCTTTTTTCAATTGTTTGCAGATAATAAACTATTTGTCGGAGAAAATCAGTTAAGGTATCCAAATGTGCGCAATTACCTCGATTAAAATAAAAAAAACTGTTGCATTAAAAAATCGCATTTTTTATTATTTATTGTTTAGTTTTTTTTATTAATTTCATCATGCTTGATTTTTATTTTTTTAGTATAAACTTTATGTACGCAGGTATGAAAAAACTCGTAACTTCTACAGTTTTGGTGTTGTCATTCTCAAATTTTTACAGCTTACTCGATAAAGTTTGACAACTATTCAGGTTGAAAAAAAGAAATAAAAATCAAACATGATGAAGTTGATAAAAAAATGCGACTTTTTAATGGATTTTTTTTTTTTATTTTAATTTATCTCACACTCTCGCGGAAAGCCGAGGTAATTACACACATTCAGATATCTTAACTGATTTTCTCCGACAAATAGTATATTAACTGCAAACAAATAAGAAATGATACTTCTCCGTGAGTTCAAAATTCCGGGATTTTTTTCGAGATTTTTGAATGGCATGACGAAATAAAAAAATAGGTGTCCTTTTTTACGACAAAGAATGTAAAAATATATATTTAACCAAAAAAAAAAATATTGAGGTGTAAACATTGTATGGAATGACCGATATGTATTTTAGAAAGAATGAAGTAGATTTCCTCGAAAGGCCCCATGGCAATTTCTGTGAAAAGCAAAAGAGTAAAAGAATATTTCAAAAGCTTTACTAACAGAAACCATAACATATTGAGATTGGTTAGCAGTGTTGTTGTAGAGATTGTGAGAGCATTGCTTTTATTTGCCCAATAATAAAAAAACACTGTACATACCTACCTTCGCAACTGGGGTTCCACAGAAGAGCTCCACTCACTAACATTAACAACAATTCAGTAGACTCCACATGCGGGGACTGGATTCTGTTGTTGCTGTTTTAGTGAGAATTGCTGCAGGGCTATTAATATGCTTTTGCGAGTAGAAAAGTAGAACACTTTAAAACCGTTACTCGCAAGGATGTTCGGCTCAGTTCAGTTTGAGACGTTGTCGTGTTGAGACCAAAAGCGGAAAATTACGCTGCGAAAACATAGGCCGTGGACGCGTTGGATAAAGTGTTACATATATCTAGTACATGTATGTGAGTTTGGTTATATGGGCGATAGTGTATGGAACAGCATATTGCAAAGCAACACAAAATTTTCAAGTGAGAAAGTTTATTGTAGAACGCAGATGATAACTCACATGATTAAAAAATTATTGTGCTAAAATTAAATTGCTCTGAAACAATTTATAAATTACATACAAGTGAAAGAAAGTAAATGCGCGCTAGAAAGTATGCTACGATTTCATAAAAATTAAAAACACGAGTGGGCTTGATAGGTTTGGATAAAATACTGATAACTACATACATACAAAGGTGATGTGCAAAGAATTTATTAATGCAAGATATTAACCTTTTGACAAAAGATTCGTGGCTTGGTGATTAAAAAAATAATTGTAAAAATTAAATATACAATTCTATACCAAAAATACTGGTGTACTTATCTATGTATGTAAATACATTCATGTGACTTTTAATTGTGATTTAATGTCAAGTGCAGCTGATGTTAATTTATAAAACATATTGCAAGCAAAGAGAAATAGGACTTTCAATTGGTGAGTAAAATACCACATATTTATTATTTTCTTAACGGATGTCTTCTGTCCGGTCAATGGATTTGTGTGGTTTGGTCTGTGTGGGATAGCTGAAGATATGTGCATGATATATGTATGTAATGTGTATTCGAATAAATAATTTAATAAAAATTTGTCTTACTTGGTGTATGATTACTAGTTTAAAAAGGGAAATTCAGGCAAAAAATTGGGCTTTGAGCATTTTACCAACGCTGTGGCATATTTTAAAAAATGCAGACAATTTCTGAAATTGAAATATGTAAGCATACATACATACATACATACATATATACAAAAGTACATACGTAGCTCATTTGCCAATTAACCCTTTACTGGTATCGTGGGGTCTATTTGGATGTCAGTAGGGTGCGACTCTTTTTATACCCGAGCGCACTTGTGCACAAGGGTATTATAACTTTGTTGTTTGTAACAGGCAAAACGAATCGAGATAGATATAGACAAATGTATACATAAATGATCAGGATGAAAAGAGAAATCGATTAAGCGGTGACTGTCTGTCCGTCCGTCCGTCCGTCCGTCCGTCCGTCTGTCCGTCCGTCTGTGCACACGATAACTCGAGTAAAAATTAAGATATCTTAACGAAACTTGGTACGTGTACTTCTTTCGGGCGTAGGACGGATGGTATTGAAAATGGGCAAAATCGGACAATAACCACGCCTACCTCCCATATAACAGTAATTTTCAGAAATACGAAAACTGCGATATTTTAGTAACTACTGAAGATTATTCACTCAAAATTTATATTTGTGATAACTTTTAGACGAAAAATAAGAATATTATAACTTTTTGAAAAATGGGCGTAGCCACGCCCACTTATGGTTACATGTGTATATCTTGGCAACCGCTGCACCGATTTCTTCCAAACTTGGCACAGTTATTGGCCTTGGTACAGGATACCAAATGGCCGAAAATTTTAAAAATCGGACAATAACCACGCCCACATCCCATATAACGGTAATTTGGAGAAATACGAAATCTTCGATAAATCAGTAAATATTAAAGCTAATTTATTCAAAATTGATGCTTGCAACAATTCTTTACCAGGAAATACGCTTATCATAACATTTTGGAAAATGGGCGTGGCACCGCCCACTTATGATCACATATATGTATCTCGGTAACCGTTCCACCAATTTGTACCAAACTCGGTATGGTTATTGTGCTTGCCACATAAAAGCAAAACGTTCAAAATTATTGAAATCGGACTAAAATTACGGCTTTTCATATAACGGTAAATTTTAGAAATGCTTGAAACGTCAATGTTTCGAAATTTAAGGATTTAATTTATTCAAAATTGATACATCCCGGCTTACCATGTAGCGGTAGCTTTCGGAAAGGTGAAAAGCCATATATGTAATACTTGCGCCGGGTATTTAATGTTCGGCCCCGCCCGAACTTAGACTTTCTTACTTGTTAACCATTGATCTACATATGTACAAAGAAAGATTCTCTCTCTATAGGTTCATTTGCTCATAAAATTGGATAATGAAAAGACGTGCCTTACGAGCTCTAAAAATACGCCAAAAGGGCTCTATAACTTCCAAATCTGACGAAATATGAAAATAGTGTGAAGTATAGAGTCTTTTTGCCATTTTATGTAAAATTTAGTTATGTTATCTGATTTGGAAATTTTTTCGCAGAGTACGCACCAGAGATCAGTTGCGGTGTATCGCATTTTCGAATACACCGCAACGACATTTATTTACTGTACCACTCAAACTCAGTAATACTTACGAAATCTACCGCCACCGCAATCACCGCAAGCTCAAATAATGTCGTGTTTGAGTGTTTTGTGCTCGATCAAAGCGTCGTTACTGCATATTGTGGCACCGCATTTCCATGTCGGCTTCGGCTATGCGGTGGTATGAGCGGTCGTTTAAACAACGCAAACTACGCATTATTTGCGGATATGCTTGTTTGAATGCGGTGCACCGCATTATACGAGTTTAAGTGAAATAAAAATGAATTGAATGAAAAGAAAATATATATTACATATTTTGTGTATTTAAATTTGACTAATTGTTTATATCTATTAATTTTTTTGTAACATGCAGACATACAAACTCTGTAGGCAACTGTAGCGATAAAATGCTCTTATAATGCGGTGCACCGTATTCCGCCAAGCATATCCGGAAATAATGCGATGTTTGCGATGTTTAAACGACCACTCATACCACCGCATAGCCGAAGTCGACATGAAAATACGGTGCCACAATATGCGGTAACGACGCTTTGGTCATACAAGTCATCGCAAACACGAACGCGACAAAAAATGCGATGCACCCAAATATCGCATTGCTTGCGGTGGCGGTTATACTTACACCGCATTGTTTGCGAGTATACTTGATGTCTCGAAAAAGGCACCGCATGCTGATCACTGGTACGCACCTATCTTGCTTTGTAGCTTACAAAAAAATTGTAACCATACAGTTAAGGTGCCTACTAATACACATAGTTACGCAAAGTCAAACACTGTAAGTAACAAGTAATTTTTAAGCAGAAAACAAAACCGACTTCAATTCTCATATAAATATATATGTATATACTAGCCGGCCTCGTATGCGCGAGGCTTCGCTAAGCGCTGAATGTGTAGATATTAAATAAGATCCGATTGACAACTAAATAGGTCGCAACCCTACTAACAAAATAATATATAATTGCCCATCTGGAGGCCAAGCTTTTTCATTTAACACCTCATTTCTTTAAATTGAATGAACTGTGCAAGTCTAATGTCATTAACAAAACATGCCCCCGCGTAGTATACAGACATAATTTTTAAATAGGTGGCAACCCCGCTCAAACAAAAAATAAAAATTTATTGTACATGCAGAGACCATATAATTTCACTTGGTACCTCAGTTTTTAGTCCAACAAACGGTGAATATCTTATAATTTTCAAAAAGTGGCAACCCTACTAAAAAATTAATACATTATTGAACAGCTAAAAGCCGAGCCCTTTTATTTGACACCTCATTTCTTGTAATCCAACGAACACGGGTGGCCACCTTTTAGGAATTTCAAGTACTAAAGTACTTCGATATTACTGCGTACAAAGAATCTCGACTTTCCTTTATACTAAGTATAGTTAATTATCCAATAATCGAATCTAAACCAGATTTTCCGATGCAAAAATAATAATTATTATTAGTTATGCGGTAACATAAAAAAAAAAAATAAGTGAATATGTGATTATAGATTTATGATAAATTATGATTTTTTTTGATTGAAAACTGCGTTATTATTTTAAAATACGCTGACTTTTACCACACCAAGTATTTCCTTTTTTTATAGTTCAGGTCATCAGTTGGACGCTTCATACCAACAATCTGAAAAAATATCGATACCAGCTAAGGGTTAAACATTTAAGTTTCCTGCAGGGTCAAAATTAGCTTTGAATTTTGTCTTGTTTCCTTTAATTTGTTTTTATATTCTTCTTATTTTATTTTTATATTAATGTTACGCTTTTTGATGGACAACATGATCCGTGAAGAGTTTTTGTTTGTGTTTTTGCCACGCTCCTCTAAGACGTACTTTGACGCAGGTTCATGCCGCACAATGCGGTTCCCACCACAGCTACTGAGCTTCTCAACATCTCACCCTCTCCTCTTTTGCTCTGAAGCCTTCAGAGCTCTGCTAGCCTACATTTCTGTTTACCTGTTGTGAGCGAAGTGACGCGTTGTGTCCATATTGTTTTATGTATGAATAGGCGTGTGTGCTTGTAACTCGGTGTTTACCCTACCTTATGGGAGTTAGCTTACATTTATGCTTAAGTGTAATATTTTATATTTATTTTTCTTACTTTGTTTCATTTTTCTGCCACTTAATATTAGTGTTGCCAGAAAATTTGACCTAACAATACTCTTTATATTATAAAATACTTCTATTGAAAAAATCGTTTATTAAGATTTTCATTAAAAGATTATAATTGTGGACAGCGGAGAAATTATCGCCAACAATGTTTATTCAAGGAATTAACAGTTTAAAGAGATAAATATGTACAACTAATGATTCGTGCATAACGGTTGAAAAACTGAACCTTCCCAAAATACGTATGCAGAGCATAACTTTTAGAAATGCAAAAATAAAGTTATACAAAAATTTATAACAATTTACCTCATTAATTTTTCTTCTTTTTTTTTGTAACAACTGAGTTGTACCGAGCCCTACAAAGGAATTAAAATTGCATGAAGTTTATTATACAACAAAATAGTAATTTCTTCATTAAATATTCTGCAAATCAATCAGTTCTTTCAGTGATGATTTCACTTTTGTTTTTCTACAAAACTTCTGTGAACGCTAAGTATGTACCACCTAACTATAAGCAAAGTGTACAAATTTGTATACACTTTGTTTATGGTTAAGTGGTACATATTTCTAGGCTCTGTTTTCTGCGTAAAAATCCGCAGTCTAATTTTTGGAAGGAAACTCAAGAAAAAAAAAAGTTTTTCCGCGGGCACATCATTTATCGTACTGTTCTATGCTAGAAAATTGCACCGTGCGACAAAAACAAAAAAAATCAAAACACGCGAAAGAATCGTTATACTCACGAAATATAGTATAACTGCATTTTTAGTTTTTCACTCTGACGTCGGGATTATTTTTCAAAGGACTTCGAAATTTTAAAGAAATGATTAATTCAAGAAATTATTTTAAAAAATCAGTGCAATGTAGAGTAACAATAAGGTTACCAAGTGAGAGAGAAAATTGTGTAGAATTTAAAGCCAGAAAAAATTTTTGTTTTACAAGGACGAATAGGCTTTTAATAAATTTTATATTTTTAAGTAAATTAAGTTTGCAGAACGAATTTCGTTGACGAGGTCATGCATATATTAGTCCTCAAACAATAATTAAAAAAAAAATGTCAAATTTTCAAGCATATTTAAGGACAAAATTTGTAAAGGACATCATTATTATTTATTCCGTTATGATTATACAGATTTTTTCCATTTATATATGACACT